GTGTGCTTACCCAGCTCGGCTCCGCCGATAGCGTGCAGCCTGTGCCCGGCCTTGTTGCGCCGCTCGGCGTCGCAGTGAAGGGCCGCGGTGGACAGGCACACCTTGGCCTTCGCACCCGCCCTGAGGATCATCGAAACCACCACTGGGCATCCACGGGCGGCCCGGAGCTTGGGCCAAGGCTCTCTCAGTGCGGGCACGGCCGCTCGCCGTGCCTGAACTGCAGAGCCGTTTCCCTCCGCGGGGCGTGCTGCCAGAGGTGCCTCTGGCCAAGGGCATCTGCGCAGCAGGGCCGGGCAGGGCGGCCAGGCGTGTCCGCACCGAGAGGTCTTGGCCCAAGCACCGGGGCGCCCGTGGATGCACAGGGGTGTCTGGTGGACACGTGGGAGCCCCCAAACCAGGTGGTGAGATACGAGGTGGCGACCTGGAATTCCCCAAAAGTCACCGCCGGGTTTGGGAACACGGGGTCGCCGACGGGTTTTGTGACTCCTGTGCCCACCAGCGTTCGGGACATCCTCGAAAAACCACGCGAGTCCCCAAACCGGGTGGTGACACCAAATCGCCCGAGACTCACCGCCGGGTGTTCTCACCACCACGTTTGGGGACTACCAAGGACAGCTCCTCGATCCCGACCTGCCTCCTCGATCCTCCGCGACGGAGCACTTGGAGGGGGGGCAGCCCTGACTGCAGATCCACCGTACTTTCTGGGCGATTTCGCAAGTGGGGCAGGAATTCCCGCCCTACTTTTCAAGCTCCTTCAAAGTCGACCTCTGCCCTTTCCGTCGCTGTCTCCGCCCTCCTTTGCAGATGTCCGCCCTGCTTTGTGGACAGTTTTGTGGACATGTACCACAAATCTCTTAAACTTTGCACAGAAGTGTAGCGAACATGTCCGCCTTCCATTTCTGAGGCGGAAATTTCAGCCCTGAGCCGATGCATGTCTGACGCTGCCAAAGTACGGCGGATCTGGAGTCAGGGCAGGGTGTCCCCAGCTTTCTCTCGGCACCCCTCGGACGTGTGCATCTTTTCCTCGGCGCGGACCGTCGAGGCGCATCCTGGACCATCGAGCCAAGAGCACACGCGCGAAACCGAACAGCGCGCGGGGAAGGGACGCCCGAGCGGTGGCGAGTTCTTCGCCACGGGGAAGCCCCCCCCCCCCCCGGGCCTCTGGGCCTCGCTCACGAGTGGTGCTGCTGGTGGCCACGCGGGGGGCTCCCTGGGAACTCCTGGGGACACCCTGGGCCAGGGACGCCCTCGGCAGCACCCGACGGCAGGGATTTCGAGTAGGGGATCGAATACGGAATGGACTTGCAGTGGAGATCCATGCCAAGAAACACCCTGCTTGCCTCCAGTGTGCCCTAGGTTTCTTGGGTGTCGATGGTTTTGCGATGGAAAGCGTGACGCTTCCACACCAAAAACCAGTGGACGTCTTGGGGTCTCAGGGCTGGGTTTCTTGTGGAAGGTTACTTGTGGTCTGGCCCCTACTGTACCCCAGACTTGATTTGCTCGTCGAATCTACGTGACAAATACGGCGAATGTCCGTAAGTCTACATCGATTCGATTTTTTTCGCAGATTCGACGAACATTTCAATTTTGGGGTAAGTCAGTTCTGTAGTCGATCCCCTACTCGAGGATTGGACACGTTCCATACGCATCCTTCTCAGGAGGCGCGGAGGGGAAGGGGGAGGATCGTGGACGCACGCAGCACTTGTATCATGAGTTGCCTTGCGCAGCTGTGGTCTAGATCTTGGATCCTTCTCTTTTGGTTCGTTCGCTCGTCTCTCGTTCGGAAGGCAGGATGGTCTGCAGGAAGGAAGGAGAAGGGGGAGGGAGGAGGGAGGTGGAGGACGAGGAGGAGAGCCAGTGTAAAATCAAGGCCCGTCAACGATGGAGGGTACCGCCTCAGCAGAGCTGTCCCGACTACGGGGATGGCGCGCAGCACCGTAGCGCTCACATTGGGACTCATCTTGCGCTGAGTTGCTCGCAGGGTGCGTCGTAATTCCGCCGTCAGCGTCCAGCTGGAAGCTCCGTACATCACCACTGGGGTAACGACGTTGTCGAAAAGGCGAAGGCGACTGGACAAAGTGCATCGCTTGCATGTCAACTCCGATTTGTGTGCCATGAATTCTTTCCAACCTTGACGAACCCCCGGTGCTCGATCTCATTCTGTGCGCAGGCTCCGCTCTCCAGAAGTCTCCCCAGGCACTTCACTGTCTCGTCAGAACTCAAGTTCTCGATGTGTTTACCGGGAATATCCGCGTGCGTGAGTTTCCCCCGCCCTGTCTTCTTCGTCGCATTGGTCAATATCTTCGTCTTAGTTGGGTGTAGTTTGAGGCCAGCTGCACCAGCTTGATCGTGCACATCCGACAACATCTGCTTGATCTGATGCAGCGTGTTGGCGGCAAGAAGAACATCGTCGGCGAAACGTAGGTTACTCATGCTCTACTCCCGTGTGCAACCCAATTGAACACCATATCGCTTGGCTTGCCAACCCACTTTGAAACGT